CTGAAATTTCCAAATTCTCCGCTCGATCATGATCATGATTCAGCTGAAAACGGAAAAATCAGAAATACAACGTCAACAACGAGCAAAAACAGTTCATGAATACTTCTGTGAAGGAAAATATTTTGGCATTCAGGGTTACAGTGAAAATGCTGCCAGCTGCATCAACTGTGAACAGGAGCACAATGCCAAAGCCGCTTGTCCCGAAGTCCCAGACAGAACATCCAGACAAGAAGCTAAGTAAATGAAATGGGCATCCTATGCTAGTGATGTTACCGGAATGCTTCCGTTCGACAGGGGCAGACACTACAGTACTGGACTGCAAACCTCCAATTAGTACACACCAGCTGTTCGCTGTATGTAGAGTATCTTCGAAAGCCAACTGAGTCGTCGAGTGCTTTGCTTAGCTGGAAAATAGTGGAAAATTGAAAAAAAAAATTAAAAAAAGCATTAAACCTGCACTTCAAATTTCGTCATTGTGTGAGCGAGACGAACTTTGTCTTCGCTAAGTGACTGCACGTGACATGTTAAATCATCACCCATCGTTGCAATAAGTAAACGTTTCAATTCCTCAGTTAGCTGCCTTTCAAGCTAAAACGAGGATGATGTATGTGTGTGTGTGAATATGCAAATTTTAACAAAAAAAAGATAACAATCAACGAATTTCATGTAAATTTGGTGAGAACTACGCAAATTTCAGCGCAAAGCTAGTTACAACTAGTAAATATGTATACACTAAGCGTCTAAAGTGCCCAGCTGATAAGCGCATCAAATACACAAAGCACTTATTATAGGAAGCACCAAAATTTATTATCAAAGATTCCTCCTTTTTGGAGCTATTACATCATTTCTTGTGTGCAATTCGATTATAAAGTGCAATCTGGAAGATGAATTTCGATCATTTACTCCAAAAATAATAAGTCCAGAAACTTTTTAGCTTGTTCCAAAATCCGTTTCCGATTTGACCTGAGGCTGTAGTAAAATTCGGTTCAGAAGATCGCTTCAAACTGCCTAGTGGAATTACTCTTAAAAAATTCAGCTTCTACATTTACGGAATCATGTGCGAAAAAATTAACCTGAAACTGCGCATAGAATTTGCGAACTAACTTCAAGCTTATTGCCTAACATTATTCGGTGAATCTCGGAACTCCCATGTTGCATTTTTCTAGGTCACGAATGGGATTTAAGGATTGGATTAAGGCACCTGAGAAAGTTTTGGGAACGCAGTCTAGCACAGAATCAAGGACGGCTAATCCTCTTGCAATATGTCATGCCACAATATGTGAAGATTTCCAAACCTCGAGTTCTTTTTTTATGCTGTTGATATATTCAGTATCATCCGTGCTTCGCTGCTTTTCGTCAGCAGTTCTTCCAACCGTCGAAGGAGATGATTCTTTTCCATCTCCAATTGGTCGCAGCCTCGGACAGCCTTTCGCTTCCCTTTCAGAAGGAACTTCTAAAGCAGCAAAATAAAGACGATATTATTAAAATGGAAAGATCGGCAGGTTACATGGTTTCTTAGCAGTTCTTCAATTTCGAATAAAAACGTAGAAACTGGATTTTGGGTTGTCGAGGCCCGCCTGAATACGGTCAAACTGAGGTTAGGCCGCAACAAAATAATAATAAACAACTGTAATAAAAAACAACTGTGTTAACAGTAAAAGGAAACTAAGCCAGCGACTGGAGGGAAGTACCTGACGAGGAATGTATCAGTTAATTAAAAAACCTTATCTATAAGCTTTTAAATGGATAAAAAAGATAAACGATAATAAGAAAAATCTGGGAATGTTTTCAATCAATCATCCAGAAATCCACACACAAAAATGAACCGGTCCGGTCTGTCACTCAAAAAATAAGGGCGCGGGGAAAGATGAGAACAAGCACAGTCTTTTGATTATTTGTATTCCATCACTACTGAATTATCAGCATGCAAACAGCACTTTTCATGCAGTTCAGGGTGAAAGAATCTGTCACATCCAGGTGCGTGGGGGCATTTCAGCAACATTATCCACAAGGGGGTCCTGAAATAACGCACTTCCCTGCCGCTTCAGTTCACAAGTTGCTATTTCACTGTTATGTCGTTTTTTTTTTTATGAATCAGTTAATAAAGTGAACTAGGGGATACCACTTGCTGGAGCATGTTCCTCAATTTTCACTAAGTCGACCATATATGCGGGATCTGTTTTTGCGAACTCATATTTTATCAGAGGTGGAAGAACACTTGGGCGAGTGCCGCTCGCATGTGCTGATGTTGCTGCCTGAAATACGTTACTTTTCTAAGCTAATTATAGCAAACGTATTGCATATTTTTTCAAGCTCATATTAACAGAAGTGTAAAACAGTCATATGCCCAGTGGCAAGTAGTGCCTGCTGTCAAACAAAAAGTCACTGACAACCAATTCCTCCACGGTTTATTCATTTGTTCTGATGGCAGACTGGTGCCAGCAAGTAGGAAGTTATAGAGAGATAAACAGAAAAAAAATTTTTTTCACCTTCGACTTATAAAAAAGTATCACAACCTAACAGGAGATAAAATACTAAGCCTAACAGCAGGTTAAATAAATAGCGGTACGCACCGGTGTAGCCGGTGAGATCATGCGTTTTGCGTAGTTCTGCCCAGTGGGTAGCTGCTCTTAGGAATATATATTACTTCACAATATGGTATGCGCAAAAATACGAAACTTCACATGCCCAAGCATGAAACCTTGGCGTACACAGAGTTGGAATGGAAATTGTAGGTTCGCACATAAACCGAAAACATCCTCTAACAGCAGTTTTAGTTTTCCATTTTGTCTTGTCCCCGAATTAAAAATTCTGCACGCAAAAACTCACGTGTACATGTAAGCTGAATCTGAGGTGCCAGAGTTGTACATTTCATAGTAAATTTTTTGCTTTTAATCTGCCGGTTCCCGAGTGAGAAAACTGTCCGTATATGAGACTTAGGCGTAATTAGAAGCTGAGTTTAAATTTTTGGGATCACACATAAACTTGAAATATTACTTTAAAATTTCAGTTTCCTAGCTTTTGTGATTTCTGACTTATTGGTTTTGGCGTCGAGTTTTCATCTATTCGTCCAAGGCATACGTGAAGGCTGAATTTAAGCTTGCGGAGTCGCACGAGAGCAAGGAACAGTGCCCTACAGTTTTAGCTTCTCAGCTTTTTTGGTTCCCCAGCTAAAAACGTGCAACAAAATGCACTCGAACACGTACCCATATGTATATGTGAGTTCGGTGCACGCACATATATATACACACACACAGGAAGAGTAT